GGTGGCAGATAGCTGAAAGGACAGAGGGCCATAGGCAGATGAAATATGGTTTTATTCAGCAGCTCTCTTAAACCGTCTGTCTCTGCCTGCTCGGGCTCTGGGACTCCTGCCGCTCCCATGCCTGCAGCTGCATTCCCTGGCCTGCAAGGCTGGCTCTCCCTTACAGGGTCAAAAACTTCACTCTCTCTTTGGACGTCAGGCGTATGCACAGTATCACCAGGGCAGTTATACCTTTTACAAACAACAGTGGCTCTGAGTCAGGTGATGAACCTTCCCATGTTATGGTTACATAACTGTGACTATATAATAAGTCCTCCCTGGCTGGGCACAGTGGCTCAAGTCCATAATCCCAGCACTTTGGGAGGCCAAGGTGGGTGGATCACTTGAGGTCAGGAGTTTGAGACCAGCCTGGACAACATGGTGAAACCCTGCCTCTACCAGAAATATAAAAAATTAGCCAGGTGTGGTAGTGGGCGCCTGTAATCCCAGCTACTCACGAGGCTGAGGCAGAATTGCTTGAACCCAGGAAGTGGAGGTTGCAGTGAGCTGAGATCGCACCACTGCATTCCAGCCTGGGCGACAGGGCAAGACTCCGTCTCAAAAACAACAACAAAAATCTAAACAAACAAAAAAACCAAGTGGATTTATATGCCTGTGCTCCAAACTTGCTGAGTCACTCTGGCCCGGATGTCTGCCTTGGCCTATTCCTGACCAAAGCACATCCATGTACCTTACAGCCCCGCAAATGAATAAAGCCTGTTCTAGAAGTTGCCAACTTCCTAATGAAAACTTTGCCCTTGACTTTGGTAACATCAAAAATTATAGATACATGTGCAAGGAAAATAAACTCTTGGGACGCTGAACTCACTAGTCCAAAAGTTAAGCTGGGGACTGGGTCATGCAAAGATTGGCTTCCTTTTATTACCAAACAGATAGCTGTAATTTCACATGCTTACTTTATCTTGTATAAAATGTAGATTTACTGAGGGAGAGAGAGAAAGGGGAATGCATGATTGACTTCCCCTGAACCCTTTCTTTGCACATGTAAAATATAGATTCACTGAGTGCTAATCAGAGCCTCACGGCCCTCCCACTTGCTCTTTCCTCTTTAAATACTGAAGTTCCCAAAACACTCTTTGGAAAAAGCACAGGACACAGATCCTATTGTGACTTGTCTCTCTTTCTCCCCAGTGTGTCCTCAACATTACCAAAATAAATCTCAAAATTGACTGAAAAAAAAAAAAAAAGAAAAAAGCAAGCAAGCTCTAGTCTGCCTAAACTTTGCAATCTTTAAAGATTTATAGTTGGTGCTTCCTCCTTTGAAATTCTAAATTTTTTTTACATAAATCTGCGTTTTATTTTACAAAGTCCAGAAACTGCCTCAAAAAAACAACTTCATCTTCAGTAAGACCCTCCCAATCCCCTTCCATCTTAACCTTAACTGCATCTGCCTGTGCGTCCTCAGCTTTCCAGGGCTCTGTAGCTTTTCTCAGTATAAAGGCTTCTTCCGTGGCTGGGGTGAGCAGCCTGAGACATCTGCAGGGGAGGCTCCCCAAAAAGAGCTAGGCCTTTTGCAGGGTCAATATTAGCCTTAGCTTGGAGTCACTGGGCTCAAGCTTTAATTTTCATGTCTGAGTTATTCATTTCGCTTTTGAAACTAACAGTTTGAACATTCAGCAAAATTACTTGAACACAGTGCTCAAGTAAGGGAAGGAATTTTTTGTTTTTCTTTTTTGAGACGAAGTCTCACACTCTCACCCAGGCTGGAGTGCAGTAGCGAGATCTCAGCTCACTGAAACCTCCACCTCCTGGGTTCAAGCAATCTCCCTGCTTCAGCCTCCCTAGTAGAGCTGGGATTACAGGCGCCTGCCACCATACCCAGCTAATTTTTGTATTTTTTTCTTTTTCTTCTTTTTTTTTTTTTTTGAGACAGAGTCTCACTCTGTCCCCCAGGCTGAGGCGCAGTGGCGCAATCTCCGCTCACTGCAAACTCTGCCTCACGGGTTCACACCATTTTGCCTCAGCCTCCCCAGTAGCTGGGACTACAGGCGCCTGCCACCATGCCCGGCTAATTTTTTTGTATTTTTTTTTAGTAGAGATGGGGTTTCACCATGTTGGCCAGGATAGTCTCGGTCTCCTGACCTCATGATCCGCCCGCCTCAGTCTCCCAAAGTGCTGGGATTACAGGTGTGAGCGACCGCGCCTGGCCAATTTTTGTATTTTTTAGTAGAGACAGGGTTTTGCCATGTTGGCCAGGATGGTCTTGAACTCCTGACCTCAGGTGATCCACCCACCTCAGCCTCCCAAAGTGCTGGGATTACAGGCTTGAGCCACTGTGCCTGGTCAGGGAGGACTTTTCTGAAGATGCTTACATTTTACATCTCAATAGGAAAAGCAAAAGTATTCCTTTTA